GATTGTGTAGAATTGATTTCGAATCATCCTTGAACCTTGTCTGGATTGTAAGTTGAGTGATCGTAGACGCAGTTTGCAGTTAATTTTGAAAGTAATTATATTTAATCATTTTTTCAAAAATGTCTTGAGTTTTATTATGTTAGTAAAAAATGGTTTGATCGTTGTTTAGCTATTTTGAATTTCGATTTGATTAGAGAGTATGGTAGGAAACATAGTGGGGGAGGGGGGTCTGATAAAGTCTCCTCATCACGTGGTCAGATATTTGCCACATGTCACTCGTTATAGAGGATGTGGATGGAGCATTTGATGAGTTGCATGAGTTTTAATATTTTAATGTTGAACAGTTAATTGATAAGACATTGAACCAATTAAAGAATATGGCGAATGTGTATTCACCAATCCTGTTATTCATAATATGTTTGAATTAATTTAATTTGAGAGGTGTTTAGATTGTGACATATGTTTAACAACTTTATTTACAATTGATATGGGTGTTAATGAAATTATAGTGGTGGTGTTAGATTGAGATGTGGGCTTAAGACCCACTTCAAAACTAATTCAAGTTAAGTAAATCTATTTGACTTATTCATTAAATAAATAAAATAAAATAAATAAATAAAAGTAGAAGTACAAGTAGGGGGGCTACTGTTACCTTTTTTTATTCCTATTTAACTTAAAAAATAATTATAATAAATTATTAAATAAACATTTATTAAAAAAAATTATAACAATTTATTAAAAACAATTATAACAATAAAAACAAAAAATAAGTTAGCCATGCAACAAAACAAAAAAATATGGACTTTTTCAAAATAAAATAACTCCCAATAAGAGAATGTCATGTGGCATAAGTATATTGAAAATAAAAAAACAAAGCAACAACAATGAGTATATCACGTGAGTTGAGAGAGTATTTTGTTCCTTGTTTCTCTCTTCTTCCTATCACATATTCTAAAAGATAGTTTCAAATCACCAACATAATCTAGATCACAAATAACACAATATCTTTAACAAATACACAAAACTCAAAAGAGAATAAGGATAATAAAAATTATTAACCGGTCATTGAGGACGGTGGCAGATGTGATGATGATGTTGTATGGGGAAGAAAGAGAGAACTTAAAAGATATAACAAACTTATTAGAAAGTTTTGAGCTAAAGGAAGGAGTGAAAGATAGATAGGCGTGGGTAGAAGGGAGTGCAGATGTATACACGCTTAAAGAAGCTTATAGAGCCATTATATCCAAGTTACCTTCTGAGACTAATAGAAATCTTGTAAGAGCTTGGCATAAACCAATTCCCCTAAAAGTGTCTTTGTTTGCTTGGAGAGTCTTTCAGGATAAAATTGCTTCTAAAGTTAACCTAGCTAGGAGAGGAGTGTTTTCACAAGAGGATACCCAATGCGCTACTAGTTGTGTAGAGGAAGAATCGACGTGGCATCTTTTTTTCGAGTGTTCAATTTTTTCAGGTATATGGAGAAAAGTTTGTCGCTGGTTTGGAGTGATAACAACATTACATAATGATAGATGTCAGCATTTGGATCAGTTCACGGGACTGATTAACAGAGGCAACTCGGCTTCAATGCAAGTAGTTATGGTATGGTTCGCCTGCATATGGAGAATTTGGAAGTCAAGGAATGGAAAGATATTTTATAATATTGAAGTTTGCACGAATAAAATGTGTGAAGAAGTAAAGGTGTTGTCTGAGAAATGACTGAGCATTAAATCTAACATTTTGGGATATGATTTAACTTAATGGTGCCTGAATCCTTCGGTATGCCTTGGCCTGGTTGGTGGATAAATTTGTGAAATCTGATGGTGCACAATATTAGAATGTATTATTATGTTCTTCTTAGTTTGAAATAGTCAAAGGTGTTATGCCATGTCATTGGATCATAGGTCTTAGCTAAGTTTAATCTGTTTTTTCATTTGGTATAGGTTGGATTTTGGTTAGGGTGTTCCAGGAGGATTTGTTTGCATTAATTTGTAATAGGTGTGTAATTCTCTGTAATGGAAGCACATTTCACCTGCTGAGTATGTGCAGTATGCTGGAAGCACTGCCATTTCACACCCTCTAAGACACATTTCATTATTTTGGCAAAATGTTGAGGAACAAATTCAGAAGTTGTTGGTTTTGGTGCAGTGGATTGTGTTGGGGTCAAGGTTGGGGGTTCTTATTATCATCTTAATTTTCCTCTGAATCTGGTTTCTGGTGCAGCAAAGTTTTATGGCATTTGTTTTGAAGTGGTGGGTCGGGTGATTGAGTGCGGTTTGCACGGACGATTTTTAACAGTCTTAGTTGTTGGTTTTGGATGTATCACCGCTTTATCTTGTATTATTTTCTTATAAATAGGTTGATTTGTTGGTGGTAGAGGTTAGTACAACATATTATAATTTGTTAGATGTGCTTACCTCAATTGGATTATGTAATTTGTAGGTTGCGTAAATTTTGGTGTACCTCAATTTGTGCCTTTATAAATATAGTTTGATTTTTTCAAAAAAAAAATTGTATAACCCTCTCTTCTCTATACACGTTTTTTTTCTTCCTTGTGTTCATTTGATTCATGAACTTAATTCAATGATTTAGTTGTCGAGTCGAATTTCAAACTATGTTTGAATTAGTTTAGTTCATTGCCAGTCGTAATGGCTTGTGATTCACAAATCACTGCCAAATAAAGGTTCATTTGTTTTTAAAAAATTAAAAAAAATATTTTTATGGTGTTAAATAATTTTGTTCAATAAAATTTATAAAAAATCTTTTGGAAAAATCTTTAAATAATAAATTGATTTTAATAATTATTTTTAAAATGTTATTTTAGATATTTCTATCATTTTCGTATAATTATTTTTAGATATTAAAATTTTAAAAAAAAAATCCTTTAAACTTCAAACTATTTCAAATGATTTTTCATAAAAACAAAATTTGAAATTTATTTATTTTTTAAATTATAATTTTAAATATGTTATAATTTTCAATAATGTATACTTATATTATATTATACGATGTCAAAATTAATCTTTCAATTTATAAAAAATAATTTTAAAATTTTTAATATTATAAAATACACTTTTATAAAAATAATTTTTGTAAATACAAAAAAATTACTTTTTTAAAGTTAAATTAAAATAAATGGACCCTAAAATACACTTAATAGCTTCTTCTTTTTTTATAACTAGAGGTTATTTTGTATATTCCTACATACTGAATATTAATCTTACAATAAAGAGGGGGGAAATTGTATCCAAAAATTTAATATTATGCCGCACAAGTAGACGTGACATATACTTGAACTTTTTTTGTTGGAAATTCAACCTCTAACCGGTGTGTAAAATTATTTATTATGAGAGAATTAATATATAAATGAAAATTAGATATTAGCCTCTATTCTATGCATGTGAGAATAGTAATTTACCAAAAAAATAAGCACCAAAACATAAAATATGTATATACTATATTGTACCTATTAAAAGATAATGAAATATCAAAGCACAAACATTTATTTTCAAATGTTCAAGTTTTGTGTTCAAATCCATCATCTGATCCATTTTCAGTTGGCCTAAGAGTACAATATTGACAAGAACTAGTGTTCTGTGGAAAGTACATATGTTGAAGCATTTGGCTTGTTATTTGGTCTAAATCTGTGTGTGTTGATCTTGTTGTGTGTTAGTAGTAGCTTATGATCTTTGACTACTATCTATTAACCGTGTGCTCATGCATGACTAACTCATCTTGAATTATTATATGGCTGATTGTTTTGGAGCATTCTAATGTTTGATAGTGTATCATTATCATGTATGTATAACTATCCCATGACCTCTGACATGCAAACTCATGTGTGTGTAACTATCTCATGATTTTTGTCTATGCTACAAATATGTTGTTACTGCTGATCTGACTTCTGATTTTGTTGATATATGCTCTAATGGATTGACTTCTGTTGTTGTTGATGTTTGTTCTGAGTATGGGATCTCTGATACTCAGTTGTGTTTCCTGCTTGAAAAGTTGTTTTTCCAAAATTTTCCAAATGGGGAAGATTGGTATTCCTTTTGGATTGACTATATTATACAAAACAACATGGAGTTGATTCAAGCTAGTTTTGGTGTTGAAGCGACACATGTGGAACCCGATATTCCAACATATGTATTGCAACATCTGGTATCTTACAATAGATAAATGTTATTGCAACATTGATTCTGACTTATTCTATCCAAAATCAACTCTACAAAGAATATCTACACATTTATGATGAAGAGTTAATTTGGATGTACTGGTGCAACATGTTGAACATGATGCTTCAACATGTGTGCATTACAACATCTGACCTTGACAGCAGGCCATATGAATGTTGATTGGTGTGCAATTTCTGATTGGGATTTAATTAGACTTGTTGCAGTTATTTTATCAATGTTTGTTTGACAAGTGGAGATTTTCAAACCAAATTTAAATTTGAATTTGAAATACAACAAATCATATCTTATTGTTGGAGACACTGGCGGAGCCAGCGTCCGGCCAGCTAGGGCAGCTGCCCAGGCTCGGCCGCCTCGAATCACTTTCATGGAACTCTTCTCTCCCTCAATACGATGAACAAGACGACAACTCTTTCACTTTTCACTGCTTCCAATGAACTTGAAGGAGGTTTGTTTCATTCTTATCTGATAGATTTAATTTTATCATAGACATTGTTTCTCTATAATTAGCCTCATATCTTCTTCTTCAAAAGTTATACCCATAGTAAGCATTACATATAGCTTAGTTCTGTTGATTGTATTCTGTCCGCCAAGTGTTTGATGAATTGCTTGATTATACTATGTTTGTAAATGGATATTTTTGTCCATAGATTGGCCATGGCATCAATATCAAATTGTTGTTGTTACCACCGTTTTGCAACTTGCACACTAACTGTTCGATAAATTGCCTCAACACCCATTTTATCATCACCAGATAATTCCTCATTCAACAACTTTCTAGACAGTGCCAAGACTCCCGAGGTTTTCAATTGGATGGTAAGTATCAGAAGGAAAGTTCACGAGAATCCAGAATTGGGTTATCAAGAATTCGAAACAAGTGAAGTGATAAGATCAGAATTGCATAAATTGGGCATCCCTTATAAACATCCAGTTGCAATCACTGGTGTTGTTGCTTTCATTGGAACTGGATTCTCTCCTTTTGTTGCTTTAAGAGCTGATATGGATGCTCTTCCCATGCAGGTTAACTTCATTTTTCATTCTTGCTAATTAACTCAACCCTAAACTCATTGTTAATGTGATTGTTCTAAGTTTTAATTTCAATATGGAGTTAAGGAAATGGTCGAGTGGGAGCACAAGAGTAGAGTACCTGGAAAGATGCATGCGTGTGGTCATGATGCTCATGTTAGCATGCTACTTGGTGCAGCAAAGATTCTCAAACAACATGAAAAAAAGATACAAGTGAGATCTTTAATATGTCTTCTTGGCTTCCTTATTTTGGTTTCCTTAATGTATTTCAAGTTTAAACATTATTGTTGTCTTCATCCTCTCACGGATAACTGATAAATTCATTATTGTTGTCTAAACAAGGGAACTGTTGTTCTTGTTTTCCAACCAGCAGAGAAAGGAGGTGGAGGGGCTAAGAAAATTTTAGACCAAGGAGCATTAGAAAACGTTACGGCTATCTTTGGATTACATATTGATCCGGAATTACCAATAGGTGAAGTGGCCTCTAGGGCTGGTCCAATAATGGCAGGAAGTGGCTTCTTTGAAGCAAAAATAAGTGGAAAAGGAGGTCATGCAGCTATACCTCAACAGTCTATAGACCCCATATTGGCAACTTCCAATGTGATCATTAGCTTACAACACATTGTTTCTCGCGAGGCTGATCCTCTAGACTCCCAAATAACTATTGTCAATTCTTCATTTTCCCTTAAAATTATGAAGCCAATGAAAACTTGCCCAGGCTTCATAATTTTTCTGGCTCTGCCACTAGTTGGAGACAATTATGGAGAAGATCATATCCAACATAATCAACTATTTTTTAGATTAAATCAAATCAAATATCTAAAGGATAAATTCCCGAATGACATTCCTATATAAGGAGGCTCATGTATCACGTTTGAGATATGGATTTTGTGTGCAAGGTTTAATATCTTTGTGTTAGGATTTTGAGTCTTTGTAACTTGTATTCCATGCTAATGTCACCGTAATGGTTAATGTTGATTCTTTGTGTACACCACTATATATTTCAGTAACTTGGCATAGTTGTTGGTTTGTCTTAGTTGAATTGTAAATTCAAAATTCAATAGGGTTGTTATTAAAGTTGATCAATTGAGATTAATGACTGAGAGAAATTGTGAGAGGTTCTCATATTTAAAGGGAGACCTAAATAGAAATTCACAAGGATTAAAAATATACATTACACATCATCGGATTGGTGTTTATAGAAGACTAATTGTATTAATTCAAAGTAGTGAATTTCCTTTTTTGGGTAAAGTACCATTCAAATGTAGATGTTGTTTACACCGAACATGGTTACCAATATCTGGTGTTATTTATTACTTTTACATTGACTTTGTATTGATGTCCATTCGTGTGTTATATTTGATTTAACTTGTTGGACGAGTTGTTTCAACATCATATCCAACATTTGATCCCTCGAGAATAGAATTTCACATATAATTTCGCTTAAGAGTCTTATATCTCGCAGGTATAAGATTTAATAATTTTGTAACTTGAGTTAAAACTAAGAGTTAATGAATATCCGCATTATATTTACAAATTCGTCCAATAAAAATTACCATGATGTTATTTATGGTATTTCGGAGGTGTTTTATAAAAATAATTACCAAATATTTTTTTATTTGGTGCTAATCTCTTTTTTCTAAAATTAATAAAATTGGTAGAAAATAAAATATTATAAATACACACACATAAAATCAAATTAATATTTACATCTGATCACTGACTAAAAGAAATTCAACCAAAAAAATATCTCTAATTAACCCCCACCCATTGTGGTCATTCAGTAAGTGATTGATCCTTCTTTTTCCTATCTATTTTGGCACCAAATATTTCCATTCCAAATAATAATTGCGAATGAAAAAACAGAGGAAAAAAAATCCAGTTAAGATATACTAGCAATTGCATTGTTCAATCTCAATTAACGCACTCTTCGTAGGTTGTTATTTAAAAACAAATTGTGCCTTAATTTGAAAAAGAAAATCAATTCTAAAAGTTCTATCTATGATTGATTTTTCAAATCTTGTGTAATTAATATCATTATTAATTTTTACCTTAATTAAAATCTCCTTTCTGTTTTCTCTTTCTCTTTTTCTATATACATAATAAGATTTTTGGATTTCTCTTGATTTGGTAATTGATTTCCACAGTTTCCAAGTTTCCACGTTGTTTTTGTGTATTGAATCTCAAACTCAATTTCCATGACTACCTCTGATCTCTCATTGCGATAATTAGATTTGTGTAATAAAAGATATTATAAATATTTATAATGTCTTTCATTATACAAATCTAAAGGAACAATTATATATATATATATATATATATATATATATATATATATATATATATATATATATATATATATATATATATATATAACTTTTATTACAACCTCTCTCTTTGTATATGTGTGGAAAATAATAATAATACACCGGAAGCTAAGAGCTGATTATGTGTGGAAAATAATCAAAAATTCGAATACTTTAGAGGTCATTTGTGATTTTGATCTAATTTTAGAAGACCGTTGTCCAACTTGCAAGGATCGTAACTTCCTCGATTTTCAGCATCTTGGGATAATTCTTTTTGCATAGTGTCACAAATGATTATCTACAAGTTTGCTTCAAGAGTCGAATTCAGATTATCTACAACTTGCAAAGACCGAAGCCAGATTGGTAGAAGAAGCTACTAAGGCTAAAGAAGATGCTCTGGTTGCTTCATCTTCTGATCCTGCCATTGTGTGTCTAGAAAACGCAATTGGTGAGATTAGAGGAGAACAACAGGTGTTCAGAGAAAGCATCATTGAGCAAAAGGTTGTCAATGAAAAGGTTCGGAACACGTCACAACTGATTCTGCAAAAGATTTCTGCTCTTGATCCTGAATCTCATGCTCTAGGATTTTCTCTTTCCTTTTGCTTCTGAAATATAGAAATATGTTTATGTTCTTCTGATTATGTGACTGTTTTAAAAATTACTTCTATTGACAAATATAGGTAAGAATGGAGGTGAGTTTATACTCACAATAAAACACCCTAAAGTGTTACTAACTCTGCTGACATACTTGAGGTGATTCTGATACGGTGGGAGAACTGACTTGGGTGTTTTGCGTTTGATCGCAAATGTTGCGGTTAGCAAGAGTCGCCACCGACTTTTCTTTTATCCAAAAGAAAAGGTGAAAAAGCACAGGAAAGACCTTTGAGATTATTTCTTGAGTTCGGGGGGTAGATTATGAAAAGGGAAGATATTAGCACCCTTTTCATCCATGGTTTTCCATGGGATATTAGTTACTTGCTAGATCACTTGCTTTTGTTTGAAATTATGCTTTGTGTGGTTTTTGAAAGTATTTTGTAAATATGCCATTGTTTAGGCAAACTTTGTAATGATTCTCGTTCATAAGAATGTATACAAAGTGTTTGATCTTTTAAAAATGTTTTCAAGTTTTGAAAGATGTTTTGAAAGTGTTGGTGTTTGTTTTGAAAATAGCAAGAATGTTTTTGTTTTGAAATGGAGCAAGTAACTAGGAACATTCTTGCTATTGATTATTGTTATCTTACTATTGATTTGATAAGTAACTCTATCTTTGGATGCAAAAGGGACATGCGTGGGTCATCGTATAACCATGATTAGTAATGTTGCAAGATATCTTAGCATTTTTATTTAGGGGCTAAGATCATTTTGAAAGGCAACATAGATAGCGTCATCGAGGGACTATGATCTTGTATTTTGCTTGTTTTTGCTAAGATACCTCACATGCATAATATGGTCATTTTTTGTAAGGCAACCAAATGGATTTACCCTAGGGTGTGTGTGTGTGCAAGTGTATTGATTTACATGCTTGATTTGTCTTTGATTAGGGTTTTATATTGATTGGTTTTAGTCTTTCCATACAAAACCCTAATTACTAGCATTTTGTATATAAAGCGATAAATTGCGGAAAAATTAAAATTACTACGCTATTACAATACTTAGGGGAGGGGGTATACTGATAACGAGAAATCGTATCATATAATTACTACATTTTTTATCGATTTTCATAATACATTAACTCGTTTAACTCCTGATTGTTCCGAGTTTTTATGTCTTTTCACAGGTACAACATGTTTCAAATCAAATCAGTGAAAAAGGATCACATGAAGAAAGCTAACCAAGAATCAGAAGAAAAAGAACTAAATCTGCAAAATCTGCAGATTTTGTTGTTGTGATGGCCGTCACACCCCCATTACGAGCGTAACGCGCTCACAACTTGAAGGACACTCGTCACACATCATTGATGAACGTAACGCGCTATTTAAGCGCATTACGACTGTCACCTCCTCATGACGACCGTCACACGCTTAATTAAACGTTATGCATAACAGGAGACATGGGCAACATAATGGGTGGTTCTCTTCTCCTACAATTCCCCAACTTTCAGCAACGTACAGTCCGAGTCTTCCTCCACTCAAGCAGTTCCTAAATTCTCTTAACTGCAAAAATCCTCTTCTATAAATATGAGGCATTTTAATGGAGCAGGGTCAGAGATTTTTCTACAGAGCCAAACTTTTGCCTTTCTGCATTATTTTATTTTTATTTGCTTTTGAACCAATATACCTACTGTACCGTTCAGTTTCTAGAATTAGTTTCCAAAAGTGTTAATTCTTCATCTAAGGATTAACACGGTCATATATTTCAATTAAACGCAAGGATATTGTACGCACTCAAGATTACCACAACAACATATTTACAGGTTTTTATGCAATTGGTTTTTATTATTCTTATGCTATGTTAGTTATTTTTATGAATTGTATTTTAAGTTGCATGGTTACTAAATATATTATGTATGGCTAATTTCGTTTGTACCGGTATGTGACTCCTAAGCACCGAAGGAATTCGGTGATAACTTGGCTAAAAACTTTTATAAATAATTTCTGGTTTCCAATTTCCATATTTAATTTAACTACCCTTGTCACGAGAGTGAGAGGATATTTAACACGATTTTGCCACGAGAGTGGGAAATTAATTAAGGCAAGAACCTGCATGCGAGAGCTGGGGTTTGACCCAGATAGTGGTAACGAAACATTAATTTTTAAATACACGAGAGTGTTTTAACAAATTAATTAAACTCAAATTGTTTTCAAAAAGTGTTATTAAATTTAAAGTGCATCCACTAGGTTTAGTAGCATAACTTATTTCATGAACACGAGAGTGTATGTCTCAGGTTTTTAAATAATTCGTTTTTACCGAAATACTTTATATGCCAAGCGATTCACCGAGTTCCCGAAGTCCGACTATCGCATACCGGTATAGCTATTACTATTGTTTTTAATTAAACTTTTCTTCCCCCAAAACCAAATATTCATCGCTTAGTTAAACAATTGTAACATTAGATCATATGCGATTGATCCTCAGTCTCTGTGGGTTCGATAATCATTTAAAATTAGAACGACTAAACTGTATACTTGCAGTTAGTTTCCCAATACTCATAAAGTCCCGATCAAGATTTTGGCGCCGTTGCCGGGGATTGATTAGTCAATTAAGTACGACTCTTCTGTTGCGCGTTTAGACTAGGCAACAAAAACCCTTTTTTGATTTGTATGCCAAGGACTCGTTCACAAGGCGAACCACTTGACAAATCGACGGACGAACCTGAACGCATCCTTTCCATAAGACGAACAGTCAGGGATTACTGTTTAAATCACGCTATTCCTTTACCAAAACCCGAAATCAAGATTGATTCCGAAACAAATTCTAATTCTTCCTCTGAAACCGAAATCAATCTAGAAGTAGACATGGCCGAAGAATGAAGGACCCGTCCACTGAAGGAGTATGCAGATCCATCACAACAAGAACCCCACAATAGCATTGTTTCTCCAGTAATTAATC